AAGGTGCTACATATCCCACACTTACTTTTGCCTTCTCAGCTCTTTAGAGAAGAAAGCGTTAGCAATCTGGATTGAACAGTTTCCCTTTAAATAGACAAGAAACAAATGGACAATTAGGATCTTCTGTATTGCAGTCCAATATTTCATAACTTTAGCATGAATGAAAAATGATGAAAAAAATAAATATTTAGAAATCAAAAATTAAACAAGTTAAGTTCGTTCACTTACTCTCCTGGATTAAATTTGGGAACTTACAGTAGAGAAGATAATTTTCTCAATGATTTTTCCTCTGAATTGTGAAAAGTTCACATTATTTACTCTTCTTCCTTTCATAGAATCATCCAATCGTAGTCTTCCCGACCCATCATTTCTTCTTATGCCAATAGTTAAAACTTTCTGTTTCCCAAAGGTATGAAGGGTGTGAAAAGGGAAAACAATTAAATGTAAATTGCATTGATTTACAGCTTATGCTGCTTCCAATCGTAGCCAATATTAGAGGTTCATATTTCCCAGAGGGTGATGACACAATTCTCGAACAATTTGAAAGACGTAAATCCAAGTCCACTATTCCAGGCGAAACGGTTAACTGCACGGTTAACGGTTATATACACATATAATAAAACTCATAGGATTAAAAGTTGATTTCAACATAAACCCCAGTTCTATATACCGCCATTATCAATTTGGTTGGAACTAGGCACTTTGGAAAAATTTAGGTACTTATTGCAAGCAACATAAGTTTTTGATTGATAAAAATTCTGCGATACATCAATATTCTTAACCAACAAAACGATTTAAGAATATTCGATAAGAACAAAAATGTGACATTTCAAAATACCAAAGGCAGATTTCTTCGTCCACACGAGTGTACCCATTAGCCCATTTAATAAGGAATGTAAGAAATTATCTGCAATCGTCCTGTTAATTAATTATTTAATTCAAAAAATAGACCAATATAAACATTCGTTCAAATTAACAGAGAGAGAGAGATGGACAAAATGTTTCAGAATTCACATTCTAGAGCATACAAATTGATTACTTCAAATGATCTCAAATCTGACTAAATTAATTGCCGCAACCAAGTTTTTCAGAAAAGAAAACTCATTATTTTAGATGTTATCTAATTTACATATAACATTCAAGCTCAATTCGATTTGGAAATCTGAAATTCAAATTGAAATCTAGAATCCATGTTTATATATTAATCATCTAGACAATAATTCGAAATGAGAAAAATTTAAAATTTATTCTTTCCATTTCCTGGATATTAGAGCACAACCCTTATTTTGACACAATATTTTGATTAGTCAATAAAATTCAGTTTTAATTAGTATTTTCTCATTTTCAATTTCATTTACTTTATTTTCTCAAAATACATTAAGATGAATCAAAATGATCTTCCCCAGAGTGTCGACAGTCATCCATGTCCTCAAGTTTGAACTTTAAGTGACCTAAAGGTGATTTCATTTGACCTTCCTTCGACAAATATTAATATTTGAATAACATTTGATTAAGTGTGTTGGGAGCTTTAATAAGTAGTAAACGTATTGAGATGTTAGTATTTGCTATTTAACAGTATAACAGCATGTAATAGAAATATTCCCACCAATATATATCTTTCCACTGATTAAGACATAATAAATTCTATAGAAGCATAGTATGTTTCCTTAATCATTTATTACCATGCAATCGAGAAATCAAAGAATAACCAAAGCTCTAAAATATATTATTTATATATTGTTCTAATAGTTAACACTTTTGAGACTTTTGCAAAATTAAACTAACATAATATTAAAAATTGGTCACATAGTCAAATACAATATTATCTAGAGACTAGAGAATTATTCAATTTCTAAAATGTAAAAGCAACGCAAAATTCTGGTATTTTGAAGAGATTTCGAGTATAGCGGCGCCACTAATTATTGGAATGTATTAAGGTGCAATAGAGGATGGGTTCATGATAGGAGATTCAAGGTAGATGGAACGTGAAACTATGCTATTTGTTATGAGAACAATCTTTGGAGAATTTTGCTTGGGAATGTTGCCTAAATCTTTTATTTGCCACATTTTGTAAGCTTCCCAAATTTACGCAAATAATATTATAAATTTAAGTTTAATCAAAGAAACTTAGCCATTTATTAAATTTATTGATAAGTGGGCAATAGCTAATGATGGAATTGTCACTTTTTAATCTTGAGTGAAAATAAAATCAGGGATCTTGTAAAAGGATATTTACCAATGAATGAAATTTTCAAGCGATTTCATATTTCACGAAATATACCACGTTTAAACTATTAGATTCAAAGGCACTAGGGAGATATTCAGGGTTCCTGTAGATGATTTACTAATGGATAGAACCATCTATCAAGATCAATATTATGTAATGAAGATTTAGTCAATTCTCCGACTACCTGAATCTATATTTCTTAGTAAACTCTTTATTCCGTTATATATATATATATATATATATATATATATATATATATAACGGAATTATATATATATATATATATATATATATATATATATATATAGATAAAATTGATTCATCATTTTGATCAGGAATAAGTTTACTATTAGAGGGATCGATGGACATCATTCGTTAATTATTACAATGTTCGAAGGATACCTTATTTTACGTAAAATACCACATTTAAACTTATTGTGAATCACTAAAGTAAAATTGGTACCTAGCATATTTCAAAATATGTGCGCAAAATTTTTCAATGAAATTGACATTTCGTTATTATTCGTAAAATATTCTAGTTAAATATTAATCATTATTGGGCTTCCTAAATTTATTCTTTTTTTCATTATTGTTCTTCTCATTTTTATGAGTTTTCTGCAATTGCCTCTGCTAGCCCACTAAAGAAATTGAATAAAAATTTTTTTTATAAGAGAGACTTCTTTATCCAGTGTGGATGACGATAGAAAATTGCGCTTCTAAATTTTTCTTAAGGTATCAATTCAAGTGTGTTTCAAATGATATTTATGGTGTTCACGTCTTCACATCTCAACACTACACATTGAAAGCCACAATTCCAACATTTGTATATTATTAGTTATAAACAAAAAATGAAATGCCTTTTCATGTTCTCATATTTTGCAACAAAGTCTTAACCAGATAATATTTTTTGACATATGTAAGACAATCCTAATTTGCCCAATGTGAATTGCATGTATATAAAAATAGATTTTTTCAGATTTAGCACAGTCAGAAGTAATCAATGCCCAAACTCCCCGATGCGGCTATTAGAGATTCACAGGCGAATTCGTTTGTTCACCTGCGATTGACAGCCAGCTGCAAATTTGAAAATTTGAAGTGCATTTACCCTTTTAAAATGTGACTGAGTATTCAATTTACCCGTGTGTTAAGATCTTGTATGTTAGCAAGATTTCAAAATCTATCTTATGTCCTCCCCAGTGTCCCAGTTGTGTTTTATCTTTTATTAAATTGATGTAATGAGTCATGAAAACAGGCTCTACAAATAATATTATATCGTTCTGTTGGAAAAGACTGATATTGACTCGTGGGCTTGTGGGTCTTGCACTATTGAGCCAATTAAAAGCTTAAATTTTATCAAAGTGCACAGACACAAATTAATTGGTAATTTTGATATATAAAGATGAAACAAATTTTGAATCTCACATAAAAACCAATGGCTGTTCTATTCGTAGTTTGCTTGCTGCAATTAACTGCTATTGCTGGAAGAGAGAGCTCAGATTTGCCCCATTCCACTTGTTCAAGAATCGTGTCAACACCGTCTGGGAAATCCGTACCCCTAATATTTGCCACTGGTGTAGTTGGGGTAGGGAAAACTTTAATGCAAACAGCATTTGTTTTCTTTTCATATTTTAGAAATTCTTTGGTTCTTCTGGATATGAGATATGGCAAATTGATATAAAGGATAACAAATGCTATGCAAACGACAAAGTGTTCGGTGATCCCTGTACTGGGCATTCTGGCAATGGTTTGCGTTCAAATATTACCACTGGAAATAATCAAATTTCTCACAGGTTACTATAATTTAACAATCAATGACGTTACGAAAATCCGCGAACTTCGTTTCATTGGATACAGTGTTATTTGTGTGGCTAAATTTGTCCCGAAATGTCAATTCAGATCTGTTGAACCAGGTTTGTGATAAGAAACTGGGAAAATGGCAAAGTCGATCAGAAACTATCCAAAAAAATTGCAGTGAGTCTTTTTGAATCTCATTGATTGCGTAATTCGACTAATTTGTAGTCAATAATTGAATTCTTAAGACAACTTCTCGGAAAATGAGGCAAATGATCAGATGGATTGCACCTTCAAGTATGAACGAGGAGGAATGGAAACTGGCACACATTTCACTGTCGAAGAATTTTATTTAACTCTAGGAATGAGTGTTTATGGGACAAAAGTGGTAGGTCAATCTTGGTATACGTGTACATATACATATTAAATTTTTATCCCCAAATATGTCCTTCGCTTAGGTGTGTCAACCGATATAGTGGAATGAGAAAGTTGGTTCCCTTTCGTTTGGGGCAATATTACTTTCATCAAAATTTAAGACAAGATGCCATTTTAAATCCAATTAAGTTTCCATGCAATGCGTTTCATGAAATAAGGAATCGGTGGAACATTATTTTCATAAATTGATGTAGCTTTTAAGTGAGATAATATTAATTATATTAATACTTGAGAAAATAAAATATCATTAAGCACTAATTTATTTCAATGAATCAGTAATTTACAAATCCTAATTTAATAATGTTATGCAAAAACAACTAAGAATATTTAGAATTTATTTTAAAATAGGCGGTGAAACGGCAAAGCATATGCATCCACGACAATAATTATAATGACCGTATTCTCAAACTTTCAGAATACACACAAACAACCCCAACAAGCCAGAGTGAGTCAACATGTAAAATTATAAATTTTGGGCCATTTATTGCACATTCAGATATCTTAATTCAAAAAAATTAAAACAATACCATTTAGTCAATTTAATATTAACGGAAGTAAAATACATATATATATATATATATATATATATATATATATGCATCCATATAATTTATTTATTTGATTTCATATTTTGAATGCATTGTCAATGTGGTCACATCGTGTGAAATATCTAGCTAATACGCATGTGTTCGATTTAAAAATACTAATTTGGATATGAATTGAATGCTAATTATTATGAGCTATGCAGTAGAGTAATGTAATAAATCTAAAACTTTTTAATCTCTTAGGCTGTGAACAAGTGACAGTAATAACAAGCCAGGGTAAGCCTAGATGTGACACTACAGATTTTAATTCTGTTTAAGCTACGGAGTTATTTGCTAGTTATCTTTAATGCTAAATGGTGTATTTAACTTTTATTTACTACTTAGAAAATATTTGAAGGAATTTCTGCTTCAATTTCTTATGATAAATAAAAATAGTATTTTCAGTAACATTTGTGTATATGACGAAAGTCATTTAATGCAATATTATCGCTCACATTTTTTAACCTATCGGTAGGTTACACGATTGCTTATGTATTCTCAAGCAAGTTATTATATTTTTAGTTTTATATTCAATATGTTGGAAAATTTATCTTTCAATATTCTCTGAAGATTGATTTTACCTCATTTAGTTGCTGTTTGAATCGTGCAATGGATTTGCCAATAAATAGAACGAATTTGGAAATGAAATTGACATTTTAATTTTCATGGCAAAAGTTGAAAACATGAAAATAATGATCAATTTATTTTATATAAATCAAAGTTATAATGAATAGCTATTTCAATATATTGATTAACAATTTCAAATCGATTTTAACATCATTGCGACGATCGCAACTCCTATTTATTATGACTGTTGTGCGCTTGTCAATAATGCTTTTATAAAAGATCTTAAATTGTTTATGTTAGAGTATGGATTTAATATTGGTTCTTTAAATATATTTTACTTACTCATTGAAAAATTCTCCCACATTGTCTAATTTAAAGCAAGCTTGAAATAATAAGTAACTCGATAAATTATTGAAACCCTCAGAGTATGCATACAAAATGTAAATTATTCAAGCTCAATTAAATTAACCAAATTAGTGACATTAAACTCAATTATCGAATACTACAATGGGGCACACGTTTTTGCAATTAGTGGCAAATATATATATATATATATATATATATATATAATGGGTTGATGAGACTTGATGTTAGGCGAATGAATTCACTCAAATAATATGGTGATGAGCAACATAAAGTATAAAATATGTCAACTTCCTTCCAAAAAGATCATTTCTCTCAAATTTGTATATTTGTCTCCATCGCTCTCAAAATATTTTGTCTAGTCTCCGTGAAGCCCGAAGTCACTTAAAGAGCTAATGATAACTAACATAAAGCCTACCATTTGAAATAACTAAATATTCTGTCTAGTGGGCAAGCCCAAGTAAAAATAAAAATAATGATTTAATAGAACAGCAATTTGTTTACTTTATAGACGGAATGCTTAGAGAAAAGTATCCAAGTGCCGGAAACCGACACTTCATCGCAAGACATTTATCACGTTAAATAATTGTATTAGTTACAAAATCATGGATTACCTTTTGATATAATGACTTCTTTCTGATCTACTGTAATCCTAAATTTCACTTTCGTACATTTGCTTTGATTAACTGAATATATTATTTATTTAAATAAAAGATCCGTTTTTTTAGTAATGATTGGAACTCAACCTGTGCTTAGTTCTGTATGCACTATAAAGCACGCATCGTCGTTTTGGAAGTTGGAATTTCAATGAGAGAAAATGAATTCACTTAGTTTGTGTGTTGCATTTTTGGAGAAATTCATTTCAAATCGGTACTAAGAAAAGCAAATGCTCGTGCTTTAATATTTTCAACCTGCGAAATAAATATTTCTATTCTTAGAGCATCAGGTGAAACTCTAATTAATAAGTGTTTGTTATTTAACATCCAATT